AGTGATTTGGTTAGAGAAAGAACAACAGAAGGAGAAAGCTTTGGCTAAAGAATAATATATCAAAACACCCAATATTTTAATGAAAGGAACTGAATATCCACACATTTGCACTTCTGTACAGGTTTTGTGATATATATATATAATTTTAAGCTGTTTACAAATAACATTTAATGCTTCAAATATTACATAATGTTGATATTATTTTTCTAGCAGAAATAAATATATTGCACTTAAAAAGAAATTTTCATTAGATGTTGCTTCATAGTTTATGTTCATAACTTCTTTTTTTTTTCCATAAAAAGATTTCCCCCCCATCCCCACCCTGCACACACAAACACACACTTCAGTACATGGTGAATGTGCTCACGCAATGCATTATAAACAACAAAGTCAACACAGCAAACAGCAGAACTGTGGTACATTCTGTTAAAGAGGTTACATCCAGTTTTTACCTTCCTTATTTTTAAACAAAATCTTTCCTCCTGTTTCTGAAGGTACAATAAAAAAAGAAAAGACAGTTTAAATGTGCTAAAGGTAAAATACAGCAAACTGTATTTTTTGTCCTTAAACTACCATAAAAAGTTACTTGAGAGTTTACTTAAATTACTGCTTAGTTTCCTTTTAACAAAGTAAAATAAATGAGAAGAGGTTGTCATTTTATAAACTAGCGACTATATTCAAGGACAGTTTGTCACAGAGTAGTTATAAATCCTCTGGCCAGCAAGTACATGGTTACTAGAAAAAAAAAATCTTATGTAGCAGAAAAGGCTCTGTTAGGAACATGGATAGCAAGAACTCACCAAAACCAAAAATAATCTTGCCATGAGTTAATGCCATCCCTCTGCAGATGATCAGCATAAGCACAGGAGACACATCTGCCTTCCAGCTAATGGGCTGTACGTGTTACATTGATCTCGCTATTGCTTTTCTGTCTACGGGTAAGTTAGCACAATTTGCATTAAGCACCAGTTTTGGAAAGTTGCCCGACTTTTCACTGATATTGCTATTTCTGTGTAATAAACACACATGCATAAAGAGGAGCCACCACACAATTTTTTGGGGGGGAACATTTCCTATTCGCAGGCTGTACTGCTATTACACAATTATCCTTGAACCTGTAAAGAAGCATTCTCACTAGAAAAGCACTCCTTAATGCTGCACTGCTATCCATGTGCTCCGTGCTTGCTTGTCGGCTCATACCCAGAAGAGTACCTCTGGAACCAGTGGAACTGAATTTGTACCTTGGAAAGACCCTCACACCTACAAAGTAATACTGAAAATCAAACAGCCAAATTTATTTTTTAGATGTCTACCTTCTCTCAGGGCTCCAAAAATAGAAAAAAAAAATCAGACAGATGCATCTAAGTCAGTTCTGTTAGTCTCTGGGATGCTTTTGTTGGGAAAAGACCTGAGGCTGTTGACTATCTGTGGATAAAAGAGTAATCCAGAAAACACCCAAATGCACTCATAACAGTTTGCAGGATAATCTTATCATTCTCTTTGAAAAGCATATTCGGGCATGTTCTCTCCACCCTTCTTAAAAAAAACAACACAAAACAGCACCAGCTTACTGAGCCAAGAAAGCTCATAAAGGTGAAGAGCACTTCACATGGGATATAAAATGTGAATTATATTGGAAAATAAACTCAAGATTATATTTGGCATTCCTAGACCATCCACCAGCAACAGATGTTCTGTACTGAAAGTGATATAATTATGACAAGCAGCACTGCAACTCCTTAAATAAATTACTGAGTTATTGTCAAAATAGTACAGATTGTTTTAGGCAAAGGGATTTCACTCTTTAAGTCATTAATAACAAATTTACATTCCTTTTCTTCCAATTGTGAAATCAATACTAAAGGTGCAGCATTGGTTTGTGGTCCTTCCTGTAGAGCTTGCCAGTATCTCTAGAGCCACCATCCATACAGTTGGACTTCATTCAAGAAAGTTGAATGAAATCCTCTCCTCATCACAGATAGGAAATTTACCACTGGCTTCAGCAGGGCAGGAATTTTATCCCTGGAATCACCCACATTCTGCTCACTGCCCACAGGAAGCTGAGAGGGACAGGGAGCAGAAATTCCCCAAGGCGGCACAACTTTTCTGGCCCATGCTCTGTGGTTTGTGTGCATTTGATTCCTTCCAGTGAAACACTGTATAATTGGTTTTGGAGACTGGATTGTGAGTGGAGAACAGGACACACCTATTAACCTTATTCCTAGGGAAAGTTCCCCAAAGCTGTCCTCATTCCCCTGACACTGGCTCTGCCTGGGACCTGCCTGTGATTCTGCAGCAGAGAGAAACCCAGTGGGTTTCTGATGCAAAGGACACCGCGGAGGAGCAGCACAGGCCACTGAACAAAACAGGGACTTGATCTGGCCAGCAAAATCAGCCCGTGGATTCCCATTCCCTTGAGTTTAAAAGTCTTGCCATAAGGCTTTGCAGAGCCCTGTCCTTGGTGGGCTATCATGTGAATCTCATCACAGGGAATTTGGATGAGAAGTTGGCCCTCTTGTGTTTTTATACAGGGAGAGTCTACAGCTGTATTTGCTTTAGATATGCATCGTATTTCATTTCTAGTGAAGAACATTTGTCTTTCATTTAATATTCTTGCAAATGATAATGTCAAATCCAGTTTCATTGTTTCAGAAAAAGCCAGCATAATTTTATCTGAAACAGCATCAGAGAAATTTGTGCCAAATACTGATATTTAGAGGATAATGTCCAGAAAAGAGCTAGAGATCGTACACTTTATTTGGACATGCTTCATGAAGGAAGGGTAGGACACTTCATGAGCAGGTTTTACATAACTTCTAAAACTTACCTACATCAGTGTGCCTGTTGCACACGTTTCTGAGTTGCCTGAAAGCTGCCTACTTACTTGATGGCTTTTTGATATAAGTATCAATATTGAAGCCATCAGCTTGAATTCTGAACCTAACTGCATCTCCTGCAGCTCCAGGTAACTTAATGGCTCTGCAGAAGGAAGCAGATGCAATAAACAAAATAGAATTTCTCATACGTTTTAGTGAAAGTCATCATGGGATCTACATATACATACACATAGCTACACATATCTCTTATGGAAGCCAAGCAGCTGAAAGAGAGGGATTAAAATTTCCTTTCATATCATCCCTAAAATTCTTATTTATGTAGGTATCATCCAGGTGTATGGAGACATATTTTCTTGTGGGACCAATATCATCTGATTTCCTGAAGACCTGCTTTCATATTATAACAGGTCCTGAGCAGACACAGGAAGTGCCGTTTGCACCATGCATTTTTCTCATGATGTGATTGCCTGGAGCAAAATCTAATGGTTCGATACATCAAGCCAAATTCAGTGTGTAATTCTAAGCCATTTGAGTGCTGCAGAGCTTGGCTCATTATACAAACTGGCTCACTATATGGAATCCTCACCAGCTCATCTGGCTCATTATATGGAACTATTTGCTCCGGATTCAGAAACTGTGAAGGGTCTCATTGCTTATCTTCATCTACCCAGAGATCCCAGGAATTGCAAACTGCCTTAAGTTTCGTTGTTGCCGTTATTTCTATCCAACAGCGAGTAAATGTGAATTAGGCAAATATTGCAGGCGACTGAGACGGTCAAAATGGCCAGTTTCAGTTTCATTCAGAGATAGCCTTTATCCATGGGATGCATCTACTGGCCTAACACAGGAATTTGGGAAAACACCAGGAGGATGTCATAGCTATGCATGGCTGGGCGTGCAGTATGGGTGTATGTGTGGCTCGCCTTTCACTTTGCTGGGATGGTAGCTAGGTGACTCAGTGTCTTGCATTCTCCCTGCTACCACATGATTTTCGGGATGCTATCAGGGATTTTACCAGACATTGGTAAAAAGCAGTGCCAAAGAAGTCTGATAACTGTTCTGCGTTCTATCTCTACACAGATCTTTACTATATGAGATTGTATTGCCTGTTTTTTAGTATGTGTAGAGCATGAGCACTGAGGTCATTAAAGCCTTTTCTATAACTTGGATGCAGCTATACACAGCAACTCTGTATTGACTTCTTATTTACAGTGAAATCCCAGCTCCTGCTGTGCCAAAACCAGCATCACACTGGTGCTCTTTTCAATGGTGT